CTCACAAGGTCACGGACTGCCCGAAGACGGCGCCTTTTCGAGCTTTCGGAGAAACCCCAAAAGTAGTGTTGGTTCTCTTAATCTTTGCTAGAGGAACAAGCATTATAACATTTAATGCACAGATTGTAAAATTAGATGAGCTGGTCGCTCAGCCTTCCAACAATATATATGTGAAGATAACTCGTGCAATACCACATTTCTATCCGACTTCGAAGTGATTGATTCGTTACGACCTGGAGAAACTTTGGAACAAAGGAACACATGGTACAGCTTCGGATGAGTGCCGGTGGCGACGACACTGCGTGGAGGTAAAGGTGCATGTGACGAAAGTTCCCTCCTTGACTTGGACAACGACGCCGAGTTGAAGTGCCAAACCATACCATAGTCAGCACAGTAGTCTTTGATGTATTGTATGATAAGTTCCAGTCAAAGTAAAAGCACTGATTCGGTCGGTGCACGCCAAGTTCAGGAGATATCGGGGTGGGCTTGGCCGTTAGGGACGACGAGGTGGTGCGTATGTTGCCTTCGATCTAGGGGAAAATGACGTCCTCGGCGGCGTTTCACATGCCTTGCCGCTCACGCCGATCTTGACGCGGATGTTGCCGGCTTCTCCTCAATCGAAGCACCACGAGTTGCGGACTTGTACGACGTTGTGTCGCAACCTGCTACAAAGACAATTGGGTCCGAGTACCACCCTGGGGATTCAGCGATCACGCCCGAGCGGTAGTTCATCTACACGGAGTTGCCCGCTTCGACCTCGCCGACGGAGACTGCAAGTTGAGTGACCGCGTCCAGCGCCGCCACATTCATGCGGATAGTCGCGCCGATTCTAGGCACCTTCTTGGTGCACGAGTAGATATTGCAGGTGTCACTTTGATTCGTGCTGTCAGACGTGTATGGGGGCCGATTTCACAAGACTTGCCGCTTCTATCCACGAGGTCAGCCCAGGCCAAGGAGGCCGTATCTTCGCTGGACTGGGTCGAGATGTACTGGTGGGCGGCGACAGACACAAAATAAACGACGTTTGCTGTGAACTTCATGGCGTCATCGTCGTCGGAAAAGGCGCCACATCGATCGCGTTTAAAAACAAGTGAGGCATACGATGTGAAGACAACAGAGGGTACTTCCGTCTGGCGCGCTGCACCAGCGGCAAGGGCATGTGCAAGTATAGCGAAGCAACATCGTTCCCCCTGCACGAGGCACCGACACCTACCACGACGCGACTCATATAGTCACTTCCCGATCAATCAGTCAAATACTTTGTGAACATATGTAGGTAATTTGAAAATGACTCATGCCTTACTCAAATATATATGTCTTTTTGATAGATCGACCATTTTGACAATAGGTCGATATCACGCAAATAGACTGAACTAATTCGTAATGGGCACCTGGTTTGATCAGACACCGCTGAACTACATGAAGAACAAAGTTATAGAGGGATATCTGTCTCAATATTTGCCACATTTTGATTGGCCACGCCACAAATTTCCGCGTAATTGCGCTACAGGAGACCAACACAAGCAGGACCAATCCACAGCAGGGAGACCATCCACCCCACACATACAAAATCAACACGAATGGTTCTCAACGTCGCGTCCATGCTGGAACGTTTGCAAGTTCAAGCCGTCTCACCTTCACTCTCAAGAACTTTCGTGTCAGGTTGATGTCTCTGCGGGACGACAACCAGTATCAGTACCGCTCGGGACTCGCCAGGTATGCACGCATGGCGGAAGAGAAGTCCCGCCCTACCTTCACTCAGCGCCGCACTGCTCATTGGCGCGTAGAACGTCTGGCCACAGACATGCTGCGTTCTTCGTTTGCTGCCCGTTCGCCCTTTTTGTCCCCAGTAGCCGTTAAAAAATAGGTGCATTATATATGATACTTGTATACTTAAAGAAAGTTGTGGCATACAAAATTCAAGTATCAAGCCTATTTTTCCAGTAAAGTAGAGCACGTATTCTCGACTAAGACACCAAAGCAAAATCATCGAACACTCAGTGCAATGCTTGAGCTTTATTCCTCCAAGTCCAGTGAATATCACATGCCGTTTAGAGATTGCATAAGTCTTAGTCTTATAAGTACTTAATGAAGAAAACCCTAAGTTCTTCTAAAAGAACTTAGGGTTTTCTTCCTCCAAGTCCAGTGAATATCACATGTCGTTTAGAGATTGCATAAGTCTTAGTCTTATAAGTACTTACTGAAGAAAACCCTAAGTGCTTGCAGAAGAAAACTTTAAGTTCTTGTTGAAGAAAACTAAGTTCTTGCTGTAGAAAACTCGAAGCCCGAAACGCTAAGTTCCCGTTGAAGAAAGCTCTAAATTCTTATTGACAAAAACTATAAGTTCTTATTGAATAAAACTATTAGTTCTTATTGAAGTATACTATAAGATTAAGTTCTTATTGAAGAAAACAATAAGTTTGTATTGTAAGTTGTTCTTGACGTAAGGTTGTGGTGCCGGCATGCGTTGTGTCCTGTATACCACTGACTGCATAAGGTGTAGTGCAGTGTTACTACGGGCATGAGGATGCTGTCAGGACACCACGGTGAGGGGATGACTGAAGGAAACACTTCTAATTCGAGAAAAAAATCACTTTACAAGTTGTCAATTAGAGTCAACAACTCCGAAGTCAGTGACTGGTTATATACACCGGCAGAAGACAACAGGAGAGCTGAGAGTGTAGTATGGATGTGCAAAGGTCTGAGTCGTTATGAAGATGGTGCAAATGTTAAGGAAGTAGAAGAATAGATGCCACCTCGACAGATCGACCTGGAGTGCTGGAAAGACACAATGCAATGCCCGCCTAGTCTTCGATGTCAAGTGAAGTTCTGGATTCTGGTTGGCCATAGATCTGCGATATGAGTACTTTTGTCTATCACAATGCCTTCCACAAATATAATCACTTCAAGAGGAAATTAGATTTACAAGTAACGTATGCTCTCAGTGATCAGCCGAGTTTCAGTTTCTCAAAGTTGAGTACATCTCGCGCAATTTTTACAACCACAAGAAATGAGGTATGTGTTGAAATTCCTCGAGACATGCTGAACACGATACTTTTGATCTCCTATCAATTTTAACAGTTCCAAAAGGAGAAAAGAGAGTTGAAAATGCCCACTCAAACAGAGCTCTCAATGATCAGCCGAATTTATACTGGATTAAAATATGAGGAAAATGAAGGGTAATACCATCAAATATATCATCTTATAGAGGTTTAACATTTTTGTACAGGAATAAAATCTTGAAGGATGGGGTCTAATGGTAGGAGTACTGAACTTTTTCGGGGTAATGTAGCTCACGCTTGTTACCTCTGAATTATGATTTTTCCCATCATAAAATTACGATAGACTTAGTTCCTGTAGTAATATGTTTCATCCAATCACAGGATTCTTGCGATTTTATTGGGTGATGGAGCCCGGCTGATCACTGAGAGCCGACTTTAGCATGAAATTTCAAATTCGAGACACTACGTCCATCAATTTTTCATTTCAAGTAGTTATAAGTCCACACAGGTGTAGGCATGCGCATCACCAATTGATACAAGTATCACGTAGTTTCCGCAGGAGGTTGACGCGATAGCTCAGGGGTTTACGACGATATGTGTCTTAGGTGAGGTGTGTACCGAGTTCGAATCCCTGGCGCGCTGAATTTTTTACAATTAAAATCTCTTCCCACAATATAGAATTTGTATGTAATAAAAATTC